TCAGGACTGAGATGAATACTGGAATGGTGAATATGGTAACATAGAAAAGAGGTATATATTTAAGACTTTTTTTTACAGAAAACAAATTAAACTGTATTACTAATGATGTTTGTCCTTATTGATTTGATAACTTGGACTATTAGATGGTTAAAACATTAAGTAGGACTACCCATAAATTCTTGGCTCCATAGGCATGGAGCATTCCCTTCCGCCCATTATAAGATTTTAGTCTATCAAGTACACTGGCAGTTCCTGACTTTGTCATCACTGACAGCCAGCCTTATTTTGCCACATTTTTTTTTCTTTTTCATGCATTCCAGCTTCTAGGTCCCTATCAATAATCTCTGCAACAAAAATCAGACCAGAAAGGAACCATTCTCAAGGCTGCACAACATAATACACCTTAGGCGGAATCAGGAGGACCTGGTTATAAGAGGAATAACAGAGGAGGAGGAAAGGAAGACTACCAAGGAAAACAGGCAGAAAGAGCAGTCACACACCTCATTTGTTCTCCATGAGTTCTTTTTTTTCTTATCATTCTATTACAAATATTTTCCTAGTGCAAGAATACATTGCATAAACCTATCTCTACCAATCCTAAAATAGCCTTTTAAATGTCTTTTTCCTTAAGGAAAATCTAAATTAATGAAGCTCACTAGAATAGCAATAAATTTCTCCATGGTGTGCATCAACAGGCACTTTAATGTTTGAAAGCACTCTGCCTCTGGCTTTTTGCTCCCTGCTGTACTTACGGCATTAACGAATGACCTATTAACACAGCTTGGAATGGTTTAAAATAAATATAAAAATATTTAATTCTCTTTGGATTTCAATTCAAAATTGTTCATGGCGCTAAGTTTGCTTAAAAGAAATAAACATAAAAAAAGATAACATAGTTACTTTTTTTAGCCTCTTTGATAGAGAAAATTAGTTTGTATATTCAGTATATATGTAATCATTCCAATTACTGTGATCCGTATTGTCTTTCTGAAGAATTTCTACATATTGAGGACAAAACAAGACCTTCACATCATGATCAAAAGACATTTTTCTAACAATGAATATATTTGTAAGAGTCTGAGTAGCTGTATACCATGCTGAAGTAGTAGAAATTGCTTCTAAAACAGAAAACGTGGTAAATTTCTCACGCAGCAGAGGAGGAAACATAGCTCTACAGAACAGATATCAAAACGTGTTAAATCACAGGAGACTTCTACCTGACTTGTGACCACTTGAAACTTGTGAAATATGCCGTGCTAAGAATCAAGCTACCGTGAGAGTAACATGGCATATTATTCAGGAATAACCTAAATTGTACACTTTGCTGCTGCTGCCCCTCAGTTTACATCCAATGGGAAAAAGCTATCAGGCAGTCCAAAAAGTGTGTTTCAAGGGCAGAGATCAGTAAGCAGCAAAGAAAGTTGGTCCTCGTGACTTTTTGAGTCTTAATTATTCAGACATTAAAGAACAGGAGGTTGTCCCTTGCTGCAGATAGCTGCAGAAGCTGATCTCCCAGAAAATAAAATCCTGCAGAGCAAACATCCCTGAATTCAAGCTTGCACAGGAAACAAAAGGGACAGGGACTACTGCCCTTGAGGCAGTTTTTGCTAAACAGTAAAGGGTGTATGGTACCAAACTGAATAGTCTGGTCATTCAGGAAAGGAGACAGTCTTGCAACTGAGCAGCTTCTTCACCCCTGAAGCACCAGAGATAATACTTCTATTGTTGAGTGAAGAACTGTCCTCATAATGTCCTCACGAAGCCATAATGGAAGGCCAGGCCTACAAATAGGAAGGTCATACACATAGCTGGAATAATTTTGATCAGTGATGCTCCTGTACATTCAGACGGACAGAGATGCATCAGTATTTGCATGAATGCTTGTTCCAGTGAAAATACGGCACTTTAGTCATTTGTGCCCCACAATACACTTTGGACTTTGGCTCAGACCCATTCAGAGGTACTAAGATGAGCCAGGAGTACAGGACTGCCAAGAGTACTGCCAGGTGTACAGGAATGAAGTGCAAACAGGCTAATAATTAAATTCAAAATGTCTAAACATGGCTTATCAGGTATCATGCTTTGTACTGGTGACAGCTTCGATACTCCTCAACAGGCAAAACAGAGTCTGATCTTAGGGAACAACTATGTTAGACTGAAGAGAAGGGCAATTCGGGGGGGCTTGAATTGAAATACATTTACTGTTAGAAAAATGTCTTTTGATCACAATGTGAAGGTTCTGTTTTGTCCTCAATATGTAGAAATTCTTCAGAAAGACACCAATTTATGTATGTAGAGACTTTCTTGCCAATCCCATAGCAACAAAAAGACATGTAAATTCAGTCATACAATTCATTACAGTGGATGGGAAATTGGAATGAGACAACGTAAAATAAAAGGATTAGGAATGTTGTGCTGAACAAGAGATAATATCAACGGATACAGAAATTTCCTAGGAAAGAAGCTAAAAAATTAACATTAACTTACTTTCACCTGGATGCTGCCATGGTAAGGACATTTAAATATAGTTAGTTGGAGGCTAATAATAATATGATTTAGAAGCAAAAGAAAACAATAAAATGAAGAGCTGGGTGCAAGCAAAGTGGGAAACATAGGCTGAAGAATCATCAGAGAGTTTATAGAAATCCTGTTTTTTTTCTGACTGGCCAGCAAAGTCATCAAGAAGTTGCCTATTTCATGTATAACATATTACAAAACATCCAACTGTCTGTTACTCTCCTTTAAGTAACCTGGCAATAAATTGTGTATCCTGCATGTCTGGAGTGGTCTGGGGTCTTGCTGCCTCTAATTATTGGTGTAACAAGGCCATCATTGAGAGCAAGTTACTGAAAACGTGCATAAAAGCAGAGGCGAATTAAAAATGGTACTAAACTCTCAGAGAACATGGCATTCAACTCCATCATGCTAGGCACTATTCAAGGCAGTATTCATTTGCTCCCAAAGGCCAACAGTGAGACCATCCTTTTAATCATAGCAGTAATGTGCCCTCCACCCAGCTCCCCCCCGTCCCCCCCAAAAAAAACCCCAAAACCCCACCCCAAAGCTAGGAAGTAGCAAGTACTGATCAATTGTAAGGAAGATTCAAATTAAACAGCTTTCTAGGTGTTTGCTGTACTACCTCTAACTTTAACTTGCCAATTCATTGAATTTTTGTGAATTGACATTCACAGAGGTCAATTTACTATCATTAGGCTAAGCTGCTGGATGCACATAATCCTGCTCAGGCTCTAAATATTCAGTGAAGTATCTGAGTGGCTGGTAATAAAGAGATCAAATTTGGACTTACAGGCCACTACCAAAAAAAGTATCTATTTGTATAAATCTTGAAAGATTTATTTTTCCTGAATCTCAAGCTTAACAATTTTCAGTTTTACATCTAAACCAAAAATTTTGTACTTTATCATTACCAACTATGTCAGACACAGCCTCATGCAATTTGCTATCAGTGATGCACAGAAGTTGAAAGGGTTCATTGACTGTCAGCTGGTTTTTGAATCAATGCAATGAGGGTTTCTTTGTAAAATGAACAGGAAAACAGAACTGGAGGTAATCACAGGCACCCACATGCTTTATTTAGAGCTACTACGCTTAGCATGGTAAATATTGCTAACTAGGTGTGAGATGTAAAGGTAAAAAAATAAGACTTCTGAAGTCTCCTTTCTCATCTTAGTAGCAGTAATAGTCTAAATGGATCATGTCAGGAGCAGAAAAGCAATTTACCAAATAAATGCTAGGAAACTCCCTATATTGGTAATGTAGGCTAACCCTAACACTGACAATTGTTCTATAAACGCAGACCTAGGATCAGCAAAAACTCATGATTAAATTTGGAAACTGCCAGCAACCCTCTAGGTTCAGCTGGGCTACAGAAACTAACATGCTTGAACTTTTTTTTTTCCACCTGGGAAAAAGATACAGTTAGTATCAAAAGTGAAATATATATTGGAGGGGAGGAGTTGGGGGGAAAGACACTATCAAGGAATTTACTTAATTTCAACCAACTGTAGATAAGCCCTCTCAGAACAGGGCCCATTTCAGCCAGGTACTGCAGTCCTAGGAACAGCGCTGGCTGTCTTCACAAAATATTTCACATCATGTATTAAAGAGTGTGTAGTGAGGGAGGATGCTGGGTTAGGACACCTCCATCCTAACCGCTGGATTAGGACATGCCAGGTGTCTTCCTCTCACACTGCATTCCCTGAACTCAGAATTCCTATCCACTGTCTTTCTGGCTGATTTGCAATAGTTTATTCAAGTTTTCCCCTCTACTAGAGCAAGAAAAACATATTCCCAGACATGTCCTAATCCAGCATCCTCCAACCAAATTTAGGGCATGCAGTGTGAAGGGAAAACATCTGATATGCTGACCTTTATTATTAGGAAACCCCCAAGCTAAATAACACAGAAATGTCATGGTAAGCATTACAAAACAGGCCCAAGGAAAGGAGCACCGACTGGCCTGTCCTAGTTGCTAGCCAATGTCAGGTCCCTCTCTCTTCACAATTAAGAAAGTTTCAGGTAAGAGTGATGTCAAAGAATATACAGTGCTGAGGTCATATGAGTGAATTCATACCCTCCTACTGATGACTGAAAGGATGAATCCACCACACTGAATTCTGTCCATCAGCAGTGACGTACACACATGATATGGGAAAATCCCTGTCATGGACAACATACATGACTACTCTTTCTTTGGATAAGAGGAAGAGGCAAAAGTACACGCTGACAGGGTTGGGCAGGCGTGTGCTTCCCAGGCAGGTAAACTGTGTTCCATGGAGTTGATGAGGGGACCGCAAAGTGAGACAGCTGTAGGCTGCCCGGCAGGAAGCCCAAGCACAGAACCAGAGACTAACTGATAAAGGATTTAACCTGTGTACAGGGAGATTCCTTTAAGGAATAACAAAATCCATAAAGTTTCTATTTAAGAAAGATAAGCCAAAGACAAAGATTTGAAAGAGAGAACTGAACTGATATTTTACCTTTTCACCTTTATGTCCTTTCTGGCCTGGCAAACCAGCTACTCCTGGCAATCCTGCTTCTCCCTGATTTTAAAAGAAATTAAAAAAATCAACAAAGCAGCAGATCCAAAATATGTATTTGGTTTGGTTTCCTTGTCTTCATCACAAACGCCTAACAAAGCAAATGACTCAGAATAAATATAGCGCAACACCGAGAAGGATTTTAAAAACAGCGTTAAGAAGAAAATAATTTATTCTCAAGTAAAAATATTTACACTAAATATAATGCCTAAATATAATTCTCATTTTTACCATGGATCTTTTTTTGGTATGTATTCAAACAACTAAACCCTACAGACCTCTGCAACTCTAACTTTAAATTAACTAAATCTAAAATGTACTGTTTCTTAACTGGGAAATACAATGTAAGTATATTACAACACTACAAACCAGTATGATATTTTTCATAACTACAAAAAAATCAACCTTTTTTTTTTTAATACTTAGCAGGATTAAACAGCATGATGCACTAAAAAGCAATAGGAAAACCCCATACTTTATTTGGAAAGCAGTGGCATCTCTCTCTAGATTCTTGCTGCATTCCTGGAAGTGTGTATATTTTGCTGGCATGAACAGTCACTGGTGATGAAGTTGGAGTAAGTAACCTCTCTTCACGTGGGCACTAAAATAAAAAGAAGATTTTCTGATTTTTGGTCCACTTTGGTTAATAGATAATTACCATCCAAACACTATTTTTAAGTTACTTTCTGTTTTAATACTCCTGTACGCATCATATTACAGAGCAGCCACAACAATTGCCAGAGGAAAAAGCTGTAGTAAAATGTAGTAAAAAAGTCTAGACATTGTGATCCTTCTGTACTAAAATCAATGCCAGTTAAAACTGATCTGACTGTCCCACTTCTTTCTTCCAAAAGAGCCCAGACAGAGGAATAAAGTCTCTGAAAATTAGAAGTAGTGAAGCAGAAATGCCCATGGGAAAAAAAAAAAAAATAGGGTACTTCTCAGCCTCATCCTCTCCTCCACCCCCTGCCCCAAAATGCAAAATGTCAGAGTGAGTGTGAGGGAAAATTCTGTCATTTTTTGGTCATTAAGTAGTTTGGCCATGCACAGTTTGGAAACAAACAAAAAGCCCTGAAGCAAATATTCACTTGTCTGTAACTCATGTGAGCTGAGCCAACCTGAAGATATACTACAGAACAAGTCAACAGAACCTGATAAATTTCAGAAGTCCTCGTTAAGATGTAATGAGGTCTCCTGCGAGCCTTCTGTCAAAGAAATTTCCGCAGCATTTACAGCTTAGTGTAGAAATTTGTATCCAAGGATAAATTCCTTCCCTTAAATTACTGAAAATGTAGCCCTTATAATTGGTAAGGAAGTCACGAAAAAATAAATCAAAAAATGTAATGCTGATTTCAATATGAAAGTCATCAACAAGTAGTCCACCATTTTTTACATCTTCAACATAAGCCATACAAATGAAACTGATGGCACTTTTAGCTATATTGCAGAATGAATGTTTAAGATGCTATTAATAAAGCCTATCCTTGATCTTTTTGTGTTTATATATAGTTAGGGTTGATTTTGATTTTATTTTTTTGCTATTGTGTCATAACTGCTAAATAAATAGTGTTTCCATGCACAAAGTGGAACCTACAGAAAAAAATCCATTCATTTCACTTATCCATGAGCCTATAACATTAAAAAGAAAGTCTACGCTATTATCAGGAATATGTTTTGAAATATATTTGAACAATAAATTATTATTTAAAATTGAAATTTCCCTTGATAAATTAGATCCAGCCTCTTCCATGCTTCTGAGCACCTATCAGTTGTCAGTTCCCACAAAGTCTTCTGCTCCTCTGTTCTTGGGTGGCTTTATCCCTTCATTCCAGGTACCCTTTTCTTCCATCTCTTTGTAGACGGAATCAATTAACTCTCCTGCATGCTCTAGGTTTTCTTGCTGACTGCAGGCTGGATGGTGATGGTACTGCCTGCTATCTCAGAGCAGCCTGCTCTTATAGACTATTCATAACTAGCAGACCAATATTTTAACATATTTTCTTTCTGAGTTTTTTCTTTTTTTTTTTCCCCCCTCCAAAAGGCCTTGATTCAGCAAAACAATCACATCCGCACCTTCAAGCATTTCTATAGTTCTAGTGTCTTCCAGTTTACACTGATTCTGTCTATCAAAACAAAAGGGAAAAGTGAACCCTCTAAACTAAATCAATGTTTTCCCTTACGTTAAACAATATACACATCTCAGCTTGTGTGTTATAAAGCTGTCCCTGCTCACTGCAGGGGGGTTGGGCTAGATGACCTCTAAAGGTCCCTTCCAGCCCCAAGCATTCTATGATTCTATGATGATAAGAAAGTATTTGCCAGTTATGAAACACCCATTCCTCCCTGTTAGCGTACTGAAATAAGGGAAACACCCTCAACACCTTCCTATTTTTCTTCCCTGCTACTGTCACGCAGACTCTTTCATGGGCTTTGTTTATAATCTCTAATGCTTCACTAGATGCAAGTGTTATTGAAATGGCCTTTGTTACTTGAAGCCATCCTCAGGTCATCGCAGTGATTTGTTTCCTACTCTCTGAGACTTCCTCAGTTACTAATTAGATAGTAATCAATGTTAAGAAATGCATTTAAAAAGCACTAGCAGCACCTAGTGCCTTTTACTGAAGTTCCACTGTGCCATTTAGTTAGGCAGCAAGAAAAAACATACCATAACTCCAGATACAGGATTCATTTTTAGGAGGTAATTAATCTAACAATTCTACTGAAATTTCTTTAGAACTCTTCAGTAAGAAATAATGAAGCAATCTCTTTTGTATTAACATTTGCATTTTAACAAATGACTTACCAGGTCTGCAGATATTTCACAACACGTATCTTCTGCTGCAAGTTTTGGATTACAATACACTGTTATGCGGTGAAGTTCAATCTATTAAGGCATACAAAAGAGATTAATATGAGATGCAAAAAATCATGTGTTACGGCATGCATTTTCTTATCTTGGCATAATAAACTTTGTCTCTGAAACACTGCATATTTCTGAAATGCTGGAAAAAGAGACAAATCCAAAACAATTACACAGCTCCTCACTTAAGGAACAAATTATGCAGTCTATTACTTTGATGTAAATCACATTTTAGATTTAATTTATCTTCATGTAAGTTGCATCCCTCTGTACTGCTCTTGCTATGTCACACAGGCATTTAAGCCCTCCAGACATCCTCTGCAAGCTGCCTTTTCAGGAACGTAATTTTCTCCTGCAGTGAACTAGGGTAAAGGTGTGATAAGTGCTCACATGCATCTTCTATCGTTTTGGACAGACCTTTGCCTGGACCTTGCCACTAAATCACCTGAAGAGCAAAAATCACAAATTCTGTACATAAAGCTTCTGTTTCACAGATTTTGGGTAGACTGGTGAGATAAACAGAATCTAATTTTAACTAGCTAATCTTGCCCTTGCATGCCTCTTTCTGCATCTGTTTCGTACCCACTTATTCTCTCCCTTGCACTTGGTATTGAGAAGAGTGACTGTTGGTACAAGATCCGCTCTGCTGCCTTCATCAGCTTTATGCCCATGATGTTTTCCTGCAAACGTGGAAATCCCGATTGACAACTTCCACTCAGAATTACCCAGCCTGTGCCATGCAACCAACACAAGATAAAAAGAATCTGCTCCTCCTGCTGCGTGCTACTTGGAAATGAGGCAATGGTACACACATTTCAAATAAAGTTGAACTCAGTCTTAGAAAATAAAATGAGGCATGAGCTTGGCCCCATGAAGTAAGAGCTCTGAGTCCAGGCCAAAGTGTTTAGCGCCTCACAGGACTGATTCCTTCCACAATGCTAGCTTGCAGTTACAATGTGCTATTTTCATCTGGAACAGTGTATATAATATAGCTGAAGCTTTCAGATGGTCACTATAAACTCCAAGCCAGATGCTTTAAACCTGGTAAATGGATGTCAGCATACTTAAAACAAACTCATATTTCCTGGAGCTTTCAAATTACTTGCTGTGAGCTCTCTGCACAAGGAAACAATGGAGAGCATCTCTGGGACAGAACACAGCCCAGAATATTATGGGGTTGCCTTGGGTAATTCTTGCACCAAAGGCTGCAGGAAACACACCTCTAGCCACTTCCTAATCCCTCCCATTAGGAGGAAGAAGTGACAACTATGAACGATGTGCCCCTATTTCTGCATAGCTGAATTACCCTGGAATGCGATCCGATCTCGATACAGAGGTAATCCTTAATTTTTTTGTGTATCCCCTTTAATCAGAGAGAGACAAATTGTAACAGATGACTGATACATACTTATAAATAAATATCATAAAAATTGAAAGAAAAAAACTACCACTGGAAGTTATCTCTAAATGTAGTAATAATATGTCTACGGTAACTACGCGGCTCTTAGTCCAAAGTGAATACAGAAAAACAGACTCCTGAAACCAGGACTGAGTTTTTGTAGCTACTTTGGTAACAGGTTTGCCTTAGCAGATGCTACAGCACTGAATGTTGTTTAGAAAAAAGAGTTAAGGACTTCAAATTAGGAATACATGCTCAAAATTAATAACCAGTTTTGAACCTTTTATCTACATAATTCTTTATGATGGTGTTAGTGAAAGTGTGGCTAAAATGCCATTTCAAGTTATCTGGTTTTCCTTTCATACTACTCACATCTACAGGCTTATCATCTGCAGCGCGAGAAGCAATCAGAGTCCTTCCCTGCAAGTCAATGGTGAATTTTTCATCAGTCTGCTTTCTCTCAATTAAATTACAATCCAAATAGAGGGAAATGATCCCCGACTGCACGCTAATACCAAGCTTATGCCACTGCCGATCAAACAATGGATAAATTTCTCGACTCTTAAAAGTGTAGTGCAGTATATTTCCCTGAGCAGATTTGGTCATATACTCCACAACCTTTTTTGTACCATCCAGAAGTACAGAGATCTGAAAGCAAAATAAAATAAAATAAGTGGTCATTTAAAAGTTACGAGTATAAGAACTAAACACCTATATAAACTATATATAATAAAAATACTTTGACTACATAGACTGTGCAAGAATTATGTTACGAAGCATTCTGCTATGTAACTTTGTAAATACGTATCAGCTGTAAATCATAACATGCCTTCTTATCCTAGTTTGCAGTCTTAATTCAAAAAATTTTGTTAAATTGCGGTCATTCCTATAATAAATCATCAATTATTTCAGAGCAGTCTGTCTATTTCATATAAACTGTAGCTAAATCCAGTACTGAAACATCCACTAAGTTATATGTGCCATGTTATATGGGAAAAAAAAGAAACAATGGGAAAAACAAATCATAGACAACTCTAACCTCAGGTGTGTCATACTGATTTAAAACTTGCCATATATACCAACGCTCTTTCTTGGTATTCCGCCGTACACGGAATGTAGCAACTAGAGAGTATTCTTCAGGAAGCCCATTTGGAAATACTTGCCTACAACAGGAGGGAGGAAAAAAAGATTTCTTGTTATTCTTACACACATAAACAGTGCTTAAAAGGAATGAAAAGAAATGATACCTGGTGAAAACAAGGAGCCAAATGCCCATTCACACTCATACAAATTCACGGGCTTCAGCGTTCGAAAGTGCCTCTTCTCAAAAGTACAATTCAGTCTATTTATAATAATAAATGGCTGAAGATTCTGCTAATGAATTTTTTTGTTCCAACTTTTTAAAAATCTGTGATTACTATAAACAGGAGTCTTAAAAGAGCTGCTGCAAAGTGAATGCCACACATAAACATATTTTAAAATACTGCTTTTCCCAATTTATTGCTTGGGATACTGGAACAAGTTTCCCAGAGGATTTGCAGAATAATCCCCCATCCTTGGAGACCTTCAAAACACAGCTGGACAGGGCTCATAATAACCTGATCTAACTTTCCAGTTGGTCCTGCTTTGAGCAGGGGGTTTGATCCAGTGACCACGGGCAATGACTTGGACATCTTGGGTATCAGAACAGCTGGACTTTAGCCGGTTTGAAGAAAAGTAAGGAATGCATTTCTGAGTGAATGACTCGCTGTTGTTTGATTTTGTTATTCCTTTCCTACCTAAGATATGTTGATGCCTCTAAAAAAAAGTCTGACTTGCTACCTGTATCACAGAATGCAGTACAACACCACTTCTACAAACTATTTGGAAAGTTTATATTTCAGAAAAAATTAAATTAGTCTGTAACTCAACTCTACAGACTTTGGTAATCATTAAATATATACTAATCCTGTACTACACAAATTAGGATGGTGCAATCAACTTTTGTCTTTTGAAGCTTCTGCATTTCAAGTTATTTCTTTTCTAAGACAGAGGTGAGAGAAATGAAAGCCACAGATGCAAACACTACACAACACACGAGTAGCTAAAGTGTTAACATTGCTGTTTGCAGAAAACTGTCAGGATTGCCCAACTAGCCACATTGCAAAAGGCATTCCCTGGATCAGAGTGGAAGAAATCTGAGGGCCCCACGCAGCAGAAAAATTTCCTCTGTTTTTATTCCCACAATCATGTGAAGTAAGTGGTTTAGTTCCAAAAAGCTACAAATGGGATTATAATTACATAGTAATGTGCTTTATTAAAAAAAATAAAACCAAAACAAAGGGAAAAAAAATAAAAGAGGAAAGCACCAGCTGACAAGACAATAAACCCACAACCCTCCTGGAAATCAGTGCACTTTAGTTAACTAAAGTTAACAGATCTCAGGAAAAATGCCTTCTGTGTAGAGAAGCCTGCTCTAAATCCTGCCAAAGAGCTTCTTTATGGACTAACACCTATTTAAAGTCCCTTATGTGGGAATCACACTTCTCTGGCTTATTTCCCACAGCTGATTCCTGTTTTATCCCAGGACCAAATTGGCTGCTCTCCCACATTGTTAGTGGGCCCATATGCTCTATGTACAGCTATAGATGTTTCAATATCAAAAGGCAAGGCAAAAGTGAATAGGCTTTGCAGGACTTAGATCCAGATTTCATACTACTCTGTATTTTAATTATAACATAAAGAATATGTCTATGATTTATAAAGAAAATACCTTCACTGGGCATCAGCAATACAGGAGTGTGTCTCTGCAGAACAGTAAACTATCTGGACATGGGATCAGCCCTATGGTTTACAGCACTCCAGGCAAGCTAAGGAGATGGCATCTCAGGTTTACAGCTGTAAACTAGACAGGATATCTGGCTGTGGGAGCATCTGATTAGCTCTCCAAAATCAATTAACTTTACCAGCTAAGTTCCATATTGGGAGACAACTGTGGAAAGGAAATGATCAGAAGTCTTCATCAAATGAAAGGAAGGGAAAACATGATTGGTATGATAAGTCTGCAAAACAGTAGCAGTTTCTGGACATGGTAGGTATTCTAGTAAATACGGAGCACTTTTTTTCTTTTTTTTTTTTTTCCCACCATCGTTGCTTTTTACTGTAAGCCTCCCTGACACTTTAAGAGCTATCAAACTGAAACACAGTATTAGTCTTCTAAAATTTTAAGTGTTTCTTTCAGAATTTTCCAAAAGAACTTGGTTGTGTGTGAGTGCACATGATATAAAATTATCTTCCTTAGCTGTTTATCAAACCATGTGGGAAACAGGACAAGAGTTAAGGTATGGGCCAGCATTATGAAAAAGTTCACTCTAGCTTCTCTTACCTTTGAACTGACAGAGAAAACTGTATTGGGAGAATGGAGAAAAGCAGACAAGGTCAAATTAATTCCTAAGGGCACTGCACCAATTTCAGTAAAGTCATCTAAAGTGGTAAGATTTAAGCAGAATTGGACCAAGGATAAATTCAGTTAGACTCACAAAATAATTTAGGTAGGAAGGTACCTCTGGAAGCCAATGGATCTAATCTCCTGCTCATAGCAGTGCCAACCTGAAAATTATATCAGGTTACTGTAAGTCCTGTCCAGATGAGTTTTGAAAGTCTCCACGAATGGAGATTATTCCACAACCTCCTGGGAAACTTGTTTCAGTGTCTGGCCAACAAACAGCACAAATTTGGCATATAATTACTGTATAGTAACAACATAACAGAAGCAATATCTTTATTCTGAGAAGAGTTTTCATTGTATAACTATACGAACATTCCTTGGTGACCAAAAAGTCATTAACAGATGCTTTAAAGTATACTGAGTCTTAACACTCAACCTTTCCAGACAGATGGTGAATGCTAAAAGGAAAAAAAATGAAGGGATAAAATACTCAGAAAACTAGCATACTATATATGACTATACACAATTTCCCCTATGCTCTTGCTCCCTGAACAGTTTCAAGTGAATGTAATAGAATAAAAAGCATGCATCTAGCATTGACTTAGGTCTTAGGTGACTTAGGTACGGACGATCAGTAAGATGCTATAGCAAAATTTAAGTATGACTACCATGGTATCTTCTACTCTGTAAAGCTCAGTTAACAACTCCTCAGAAACAGACAAAGTATGTATGTGTTTTAAACAATAAATATATAATGACATTTCATGGGGGAAAAAAAAGCTGCAACAGAAACATGAATGCAAAATTTCATATCAGAACATGAGAAAAGCCAAAACAAAATTTTGCAGAACACTGAACTGAAATTTAGAAGTTCTTTAAATGTTTAATATACTGTTTCACCTGATCGCATGTACCAACATTAAAAGTTACTGAGAAAACTAATGAGACATCATGTGCAGGGTGAAAAGAGTAAAGAAGGAGCAAAAAATGTTAATGAAAAATACAACAGCAAGTTGTTCCACGTGTCCACAGCTCAACAACTACTTCTTCACAGAGTATTTACCCTTTCCATGTGGCACAAGAAAAGAACAATAGGAAAAGGAGAGAGAATAAGGATGAAGGAAACCTGTAGCAAGCTCACCTCAAAGTCTACAAATGTAAAGCACAAATATCGAAAACACTAACTATGGGTAGTACATCATGGTGTCTAAGCCAAATGCAGTAAAAGAGATGACAGGTCTTAAGAAAGCCCTAACATTACAGAAATATGGGTAGCAATTAATAAGTGTGCAAATTCATCCATAAAGATGACAAGAAAGAGCTTACAAGTTAAAACAGACAAGCTAATGAGAGTATCCTTGGCATCTGGTCTCCGAACCAGGGGATGCTTCTGGTTTTTTGGACATAAGTGTCTGAACCAAAATACATAATCAGACTCGGGAGCAAAAACACGAATCTGAGATTTTCCTCTCCCAGGAAATATCCGTAACAGTGGGACAACAGTCAAGTTCTCCCATTCCTGTTGAGCTTCCTTAGCTTAGGACAATCCAAACCAGACATCCTTCCTGGAGGACTGCTCTAACCTTTAAGGCGTCCTCTCTCCCTCGTCTACACTAAAAGTGCTCATGACTGCTTTGGTTTGTGTTGAATTCAATGCTGTCCAAGTTTATTATGTGCGATTTAAGCACAGTCAGTGGCTTAGGCACCTCTGGGGACACAGGCAGCGTTCAGGCGTCTCTACACACATCTTTGAGTCACAATGAAACTTGGGTGGGACTTACGTGCCTGGCTGCTTAAGCCATGGTGCTTCTGAGCTTCCCTGGAACTTATGCCCAGATGCCGGGGGAGATCTGTTGTCCAAAATGATTCATTTTCGGTGCCACCAGGGGCTAGGTGGTGCTTGAGAGTAGGCAATTTGAATCATTCTCTGAGGCTCAGGCGCCCAAAGTCTGACTAAGTTACACTTTAGGTGGAATTTAGACAGTTTGATTTTCTCCCTCTGTCCATATTGTCAGTAGTATATAATAAAAAATGAAAGTTGATGAATGGAGCACTGTGTTCTCAAAGCAAAGCACACCCTTGGTGGAAACTGCTGAAAACAATAGCAGGAATTGAGGCACATGAACTGAATACACAGGCTTGAACTTACACCACCCTAGCCTGCTGGATTGAGGTGCACTGTAAATTACAGAGGAGCCAACTGGCAGATTGAGGAGACCAAAGATAACAAACAGGAAAATCCCTAACAATACAAGGTTTTAGATCATACATATATACGTTACAAATCCAGACATTCAGGTATCTCTTAATGTTCCACAGGTTGAAGCATCAGGCAGACGCATCCAGAATGTTAATAATTACACACTGACATTCCTGCAACAACTATGTGCCACTCTATCAAAGCATATGTATACTCCGAGTTGCAAAGGTTTTTGTTGCATTCTCCTCTTTTTTACTGGATTAAATGTAGCCATATTTTTTCCTAAAAACAGGTGCTGTGGCCCACGCATAGCACAGACTGTACATTATGAGGTTACTAGAAGAACAGTTACAGGAATTTTGCATGAACTTTACAACTGTATTTGTGCATACCTTCCACTGCTTGCAACAATCAAGTATAGATTGATTTTTGGCAAAATATTTGCCTATTCATTTGTTTCCTCAAAAGTTCTGAAAATTTCTGAAATGCAGATACCAGCTGGTTCTCCTAGTGCCATCATGCTAAAAGAAGTAATT